TGGCTGGATATGGTGCGCGTAGTGGGCGTGCGCAGTTGATGTGGTGAGGTAGCGGCAGCAGTTTTGGTTGGCTGGTTGGATGCAGACTGGCTGATGTGTAGCTTTGGTGTGTAGCTTTGGGATGTCGGGCTGGGCTTGATCTCGGCTACGGCTGGACGCGGACGCGACCACGGCGGCGTGGTTGGCGACCACGGCTGCGGTTTGTGGCCCGGTTTCCACGGCCTCGGCCTCGTTGGCCAGGCGTGGTGTTGACTGAGGCGAGGACGCGGGCTTTGCGCACCTGGCGCTCGCGCTTGTTGTGGTCCATCAGTTCGCGCCGAGTCATGACCGGCGACGGCGGCGGTCGCTTGCTCAGTGCGTCCATTCGCCGGGCGTGCCGGCGAGTCGAGACCGAGGCAGCAGCGGTATCAGTTCGTCGGCTGGGAACGGCGGGACTGGCAGCGTCAAATGGATTCGACTCGCCGCGGGTGGCGGCCATGCCAGCCAGCGCACTACTGCTTTTGCGCGGCGGACGCGTCGGGGCCGCGCCCTTTCGCGGGCGGCGTGACGATGCCAGCATCTCGGCCTCAAAGTCGTCCTCCCACGGATCGCGGAGCTGTGAGGCGAGGAAGAGCTCGAGCTCGTGGAGAGTGAGGCCCTTGAGCTCGGGCCGTTCCGCGACTACAGCAGCGAGAGCAGCCTGTTTGAGCGCCTCTCGTTCCGGGAGTGCCGCGGCTGCGGGTGCCGGGGCTGCGGGGGGAGCGGCGGACGCCGGCTGCTGCTTTTGAGCGACAGCCTTGGCCGCCCGCTTCTCGCGACGCGACGTGCGGGAGCCGCGTACAACTTCAACCCGCTGCACAGGGCCGCCGATGCGGCCCATGGGGTCGGTGGGCGGCGGCGCGCTGGACGGGGCCGGAGCTGCGACGTAGCCTGGGGGCGGATGGGCGTGGCCAGGCGGTACGTAGCCGGGATGGAGAGCCTGCGGATGCGGACGGGCCTGCAGCTGGCCCCACATTGCGTGAAGTTGATGCTGGTGCATTTGGTGCATGTGGTGCATGTGAGCTCGATGGGCCTCGATCTGGGCCTGCTGCTCGCGTAGTAGCTGCTGCTGGGCGGCGAGTTGGTGCTGGGCGGCAGCCTGTTGGGCAGCAGCAGCTTCGGCAGCATCAGCAGCGTCGCGAGCAGCCATTGCTGCCTGGTGCTCCTTGGCCTGCGCGGCGGCAATAGCTTGCGGGGACGCGGCCTTGGCTGCCGCCAGCTGCTTTTCCAGCCGCGGGTTGACCAGTTTGCGTCGTTCACCCCGCGGCGGCGCCCGGGTTGATGGCGTCGGAGGTTCTCCTTCAAAGTGCTCATCGTCCTCGTCATAGTACGAGTACGCGTCGTCGGCACCATCATCGGCGCCGCTGTCGGAACCCGGCAACGCTAGATCGACGCGCTGGGGCTCGTTCCAGTCTGGCGCCAGCGCCGAGACGACCGAGGCGACATCGCTGATGGAAGCATCGTCTGGCTCGCCGCGGAGCTTGTTGATCGAGGCTACAAGGAGCCTGTTCTCCTCGCGGAGTTTGGACAAGTCAGCCTCGATCCTGGAGGCTGACGGCGGCAGGCCTGTCGATTGCTTGGCGGCGCTCTGCAGCATGGTGTTGCCAAGCGTGGAGCCAAGCATGGCGGTCATGCCAAAGGCCGAGCCCATGGGAGCGCCGAGCCGGAGGCGGGCGAGCTTGCGGCGCAGCATCTCGTTGCGTCGTGCAGCGAGCATAGCCATTTCCTGGGCCCGATCGAGCTTGTTCTGCAGCTCGTCGACCATCTCCTGTCGGGCGTTGAGCTGGCCGGTGAGGTAGGCAGTGAGCTCATGGACGTCTTCGCCGCCGTCGTCGCTCTCGCTTTCGCTCGAATCGTGGCGGACCGGCTGCCTCGGTCGGGTCCGCTCGGTACGTGATGGCTTGGGCCGCGGCTTGCGCTGCGAGGGCGATTCATCGCCGCCGTCGGCCCAAGCAACTGTCTTGGCCTCGGCGGCACGGGCGACTCGGGCTGCCCGCTCATTGCGCCGTCTAACCTCAGCAGCACGGGCGCTCTGCTTGACTACCAGCTCGTCGTGGCGAGCGTCGCGGTCACTGGCGAGCGCGGTCTGCTTGGCCTCTGCGGCACGTTTTCGCGCCTCGAGGCGCTTGCTTCCCTGTGATGTCTGGGAGAGGCTGGACGAGGCGACTGAGGCGGCATCTGCGGTGTCTGTGGTAGGCGGGAGAACTTGCGCAGCAGCGGCGGCGTCTGCGGCGGCCAGGCGCTGCTCGCGCGCAGCCTTTGCGGCCATAACCCGGTCATGCGCGGCCTTTTTGAGAGCGGCCTCGGCAACGGCGGCTTTGCGGCGCTCCTCCTCCTCAGCCGCTTCAGCCAGGGCCGACATTCGCCCCTCCGCACGGCCACGGGCCTGAGCCATAGCGATAGCGCGGATTTTTTCCTCTGCCGCGGCGCGTGCGCGTTCCTCGGCATTGCGGCGGGCCTCGGCCTCTGCGGTGGCACGCTGCTCTGCAGCGACGAGCGAGGCGTGCTGCTGGCTTGCCAGGCGCTCGAGCTTGGCTTCGATGCCGGCACGGGCCTGGGCCTCGGCCAGAGCGCGGGCGTGAAGCTGCGCGAGCTCGTGATCGTGGCGCTCCATGAGAGCCATGGCGCGGGCCTCAGCGGCTTCGCGCGCATGGGCTTCTGCGGCTGCGCGGGCCTCGGCCGCTTGCGGCGTGAGCTCCGCGG